CGTTCTCCACAATCCCTCCATTTTTTTCAGCTTAAGGGGTGGCAATCTTTTGGGAGCTGAAAGGTCCACTGGGTCCTCTTGATCTGATTTATCCTGGTCCGCGGCCGATGGTGGTGGTGTTCCATGAGGGTTTGGGGTGGCTGATTTCTCTGAAACTATATCTAATGTAGTGTTGGTCGAACAAGCTTTTTGATCGCTAGGTAGCTCCGGAATCTTCTTTACGTGGCTGATGTGTCTTTTATAAACTTGACCATCTCCTCCTGAAACTGTCACTTCATTCCCTACCTTTTGGGTAACTGTGTATTCGTCCATGTTAAAACGGGTAGTCAGTTTATGTGGAATATTCATGTTACGTATCAAAACTTTATCTCCTTGTTTTATGTCTGTGTCCTTTGCATTTCGAATCTTATCTTCCTTTTCTTTTCCTTTTTGTTTGTTTATTATGTCATTGTCCCTTGCTTCTTCGTCGCACGGCTCGTGTATGAGATCCGTTATTGAAGGTATTTTGTCACGGATATTTCTATTTAGTAGTAGTTCTGATGGAGATTTTCCTGTGGTCCCGTGTGGAGTAACATTATACATCAACGTGAACTTTTGTAATTCAGACCGGTAGTTAAGATTATTTGCATGGCAGATTTGCAGTCTCTTTAAAATGGATCTATTCATGTTTTCAACTTCTCCGTTTGCTTGAGGCCAGTACGGTGGAGTCTGTACTAACTCAATGTTGTTTTGAGAACAAAATTCTTTAAATTCTCTACTTGCAAATTGTGGTCCGTTGTCAGCTCTTATTGACTTGGGAATTCCAAGGCGTGCAAATACCTCCAGTAACTGGTCTATGATTACGGCGGAGGTGGTAGTTTTAAGGAATTTTGTTTCTTGATACCTCGAGTAGTAATCTATAATAACTAGTAGTTGTTCCTGGTTCGGTAATGGTCCCATTAAGTCTATTGCTATGCACTGCCAAGGTCCATCGGGAAATCTATGTCTCTTCATAGGAGGAGGTTTATCTGGTAGCGTGACTAGCAAGCAGTCTCGGCATGATTTCACGAATTTTTCCACATGCCTATCAATTAATGGCCACCACACTTTGGCTCTTAATCTTCTTTTCATCACTGTTTCACCTGGGTGACCTTCATGGGCTAACTTTAGTACGTCGCTTCGCAGAGTCTCTGGGATGACAAGTTTAGTTCCACGGAGTAAAACTGGTCCCATGGTTGTTAACTCTTCCCTGAATGGGAAGAAGATGTTTTTGTCCAATGAATTCCACGAGTTTTCATTTATTTTAGAAACGGCTTCTTTTACTTGTTGGTCTTGTTGGCTGTCGGTAACTATCTGAGAAATATTCATGGCTTTAGGAGAGCTTTTTTCAATGATTGTGAATACGTGATGTTCACTTTCTCTATCAAAAGATGGTTCTTCGTTGATCTTGCAAAGTCTTGACATAGAGTCTGCAATATTTAATTTCCCTGGTTGATATGTAATTTTAAATTTAAATGCTTGGAGACGCAAAACCCATCTCTCAATTCGGGCTGGCGGTTTAGAAGTTGGCTTAAATATAGCTTCTAATGGCTTGTGATCTGTTACTAATTCAAATTCTAATCCATAGAGGTAAAGTAGAAGCGTTCTACTGCCCAAACCAGAGCCAGACTTTCTTTTTCGGTTTGCGAGTATCGACGTTCGACTGTCGAAAGACTTTTACTGGCAAACGATATTACTTTTGGAATTTCTCCGTCAAACTGTAATAATACAGCCCCTAATGCTACTGGACTTGCATCAGCTACGACACGAGTTCTTCTTTGTGTATCAAAATACGACAACTTTGTGATGGTTGCTAGTGATTCTTTAAGTTTGTCGAATTGTTGTTGGTGTATATTTTTCCATACGAAAACCTCATCCTTTTTTGTCAACTGTCTAAGTGGTTCGGTTAAGGTTCCTAAATCGGGAATAAATTTCCCAAGATAGGTTACAAGGCCAAGAAAACTTCGCATTTCTTCTTTGGTGGTTGGTGCTCTAAATTCTAAAATTGTTTTAACTTTTCTTTCATCTGCTTCAATGCCGGTTTTCGATAATTTGTGTCCTAGGAAATATACTTCTGGAACTTTGCGAATACATTTGGTTTCGTTAAGCAGTACGTTGTTTCTTTTCAATATTTCTAGGACTTTGTTTAAGTATGTGTCATGCTCTTCTTCAGTGCTTCCATAGACAATTATATCATCTAGGTAGTTTAAGCAGTTTTTGCATGACGATAGCATTTCCTCAAAAACTCTTTGGAATATTTCGGGGGCCGAGTTAACGCCGAACATTAATCGTTTATATCGAAACATTCCCTTATGAGTTATGAAAGTGGTTATAGGGCGACTGTCCTCGTGTAGTTCTAGTTGATGGTAGGCGTTAACAAGATCTAATCGAGAAAAATAATTTGCATTACGAAGTTTAATCATAAAAGAATCGAATGTTGGAAGAGGATAATTCTCTCTTAAAATCGCTTCGTTTGCTCGACGCATGTCAATGCAAATTCTAATATCGTCGTTTGGCTTAAAAATTACAACAATAGGTGAAATCCATGCACTAGGTTCGGTTACTTTCTCGATTATATCTAAATTTAATGCTTCTTGTAATTTCCTTTCCACGAGTGTTTCCACTGAGATTGGAACCCTTCTAACTGGCTGTCTGATGGGTTTTACTTGAGGGTCAATAGTTAATTTAACAATAATGTTTCGTATTTTAGGAAATGTGGTTTTTTCTTCAATATTATTTATGTGAAGACCCAGTTTCAGAATCCCCAAACGCTTTGCAGTATCTTTTCCCAGAATTGAAACTTCACCTTGGTCTACGACGTAAAATAATGTTATTATCTCAGCTCGTCCTGGCAGGTTGATTGTTGTTTGGAACCTATTTCTCACTTTCAGAGCTTGTCCAGAAGCGTAACCCTTAAGAGTATGTGAAATATCTCTGTCAATATTCCATATAATGGCATTATGGTGAACTAGTATTTTCCAATCTTCACCTCTTACAATATTTGCCTTTGAGCCTGAGTCTATTAGTAGGGTTATGGGCACCCCTCCCACTTTGCAAGTAATTAGGTCGTCGTCCTTGTCTGCCTGTCGCTGATCGGAAATTTTAAAACATTCAAAATTTTCCATCTCCTCTATTGTTTCTGGTTCTTCTGTTTCTGTGTCTTCGTTCTCTACAAAATTAATTCTGGACCCCTGTCGCCTTCTTTTACTATTATTTTCGTATCTTGTATTATTGGGGAAAGGACGCTTTCCTTTTGATGTTTTGCACATAAATGAATAATGGCCTTGGAACCCACAACTGTGACATTTTGCTTGTCTAGCTGGGCAATCCTTTGAATCCGGACTATGTCGAAATTTTCCACACCTTGTGCACTGAAGTTGATCTCGATTTTGAATATTTCGATTTCGAAATTGTACATTATTTAGACCTAGAGAAGTACTTGGCCCGGCCACGGTCTGATCCATCGCTTTCGATTGGCCTCCAATTTGTTCGTATATTTGGCACAATTCTATAACTTCTTGCAGGGACCGTTCTTTTTCCAAGAGTTTTTTCTTTAATTCCAAGGGTGCCCAACTGTCAATTAATTTGTCTTTTATGTGAATTTCTGTTGCTTCTTGGGCTGAACTGCCAAACGAACATTTGGTGGCTTGACTTCTCACTTTTAAAAGAAACTTATTAAACGTTTCCTGGTTTGATATTTCTAAAAACGTGGCGTTCGAACGTTGAGTTTTGTCTTGGAGAAAAATATTCGGACAATTTGTTAACTAAAGTTTGAAAAATATCGTTATTCTTCTCCGGATCGTAGCTTTCAATTGCACCTGGCAGATTGTAAGCAACCTCCTGCAACTGAGTTCCTCCTAAGTGCAGCAGTTTATTCCTTTTCTTTGTTACATCCGTAATATCTTCGGCGACTAGATATAATTCCAGTGAACGCAGCCATTTTTCCCATTCTCCCCTTATTAAGGCTTTGTCAATGTGATCACATAAAAACGGCCTTATACCGCTGTCCGANTCCTTTTCCTTGTTACATCCGTAATATCTTCTGCGACTAGATATAATTCCAGTGAACGCAGCCATTTTTCCCATTCTCCCCTTATTAAGGCTTTGTCAATGTGATCACATAAAAACGGCCTTATACCGCTGTCCGACATCTCGACTCTGTAAAAAGATATATTTATCGTCTAGGTATTTCTGTATTTATTTATTCATTTAATTTGATTTCGCTTTTTTTTTCCAGAACCTATCTAATATTGTACTAACATGTTCTTCTCGGTGTCGTTTTATCTGAGAGCGTTTACATAACTTTTATTATATTGTAAGAAATATTGATTTCTTTAGAAGTTCTGAGTCATTGATAACAAAAATCAAAATATTAATATGTAACGTTTGGTTTGAAATTATACTTTCAGATTGAGATTGTAGCTTAATTAAAACTGGATTAAAACTTTACAATTAATTACATACATCTAATTACTATAGTATTTTCACATACCTTCTGTATTATTTGGGGTTCTTGTTCTTCACGATTAATTACGTGTATGGCTCACAGCCTCACAGCGGCCGTAGACCGTTTTAGTATTATGGCTCAACGCCTTTCTTCTTTTTCCTATTCTCCTATGTGGCTCACAGCCCTTCCTGCGGCTTTAAGGCCGTTCCAACTTTTTATACTGCCCTAAAATAGGGTAATAGTGTTATAACACTCAGAAAACACTCATGTATATCAACATAGCATTGTGTAGAACGCCCAGATTCTGCTTTACTCACCGTGACTTATAGAAACAAAATAAATCCTCGTCGCCAGTTTGTGCTAGCCGAACTCTTGCTGGACCTTGTTTAACACAAACAACTATGTAGCACAAAATACTTTATTTATCTAACAATCTTAACAATAACCACAATAACAANGTAGATGAATCAGTCAAGAAATAAGAAAGTCGCAGGAGAAGTTACTAGCCGAAAGTTGGATATCACAGCAAATCAAGAAATCTCAAGTTTGTTCGTACATCGTACCGTTAGGCAGGTCAGCCAAGCCCAAGTCAACGCCGAACGTGGACCCAAAACGCTAGGCCAGGCGTTGATCAACAGGTGCTTGCAGCTCAGCTCTCACTACGCGGGGAAGACAGGGACATATAACAACAACAAACAGTCTGCTACCGCAACACGCAAGTAAACACATTCCTTATACATATCTTTCTATCCACTCACACATCTATTTGCACAAATAAAACGATAAGCTCTTAAAATACGTATACGTATACTTATTATTTGATAATCTGATATTCTTGTACTTGTATTATCGCTTNCTTCAAGAATTGGACTCGCTTTGATCAGTTACCTAAGAACCACTGAAGGTATCAAAATACAAACTTGGTACAATTCTTTCATAATAGCTACATCTATAAGTGTATATACAGGGTGTAGCGTGTATAATCTATAAAAATTAAAGTACAGCTTCCTAACGATATTTGTAACAAGTCTTATACGAAAAAGTTATATTTTTATGTTTTTTTGTCGTAAATTAAAGTTCAATTATAGATCAAAATATTTTCTCTGGAACAGTCCTGTCCGTGTGCTGTACGATGAGTTACGTGCTGTAGACCAGCCGCGTAAAAAAATCGTCGTTGAAAGATAGAAAGAAATTTTTGGATAATTTTTCAATGCAAAAGTACAAACTAAGAAAAATAGATATTTAAAAAAACTGATATTTTCTTATTATAATAATGAATAGTAATTACTATCTGTTAAGTCATATTTGTATTCCTGTCCTAATAATCTGATGTCAGAGGCGAGAGCGAAGTGCGCCGACTCCATAAGAAACCTGGCCATTCCAGCCGCTAAGTTAGGGTTCGACGCACGAGCTCTTCCCTTAAAAAAAGGATTCAGTAGCATGCCATACATTGAAGTCGAACTGCGCTCGGCCATCAATACAGTCCATTATTGTTCATACATGTGCTATCATTACCGAAATAAAAACAAAAAATCTACAAATCGATTATTATTTACGCAAGAGAAAAATACAAAAATAAGGTTGCGCCAAGAAAAAAAGTTGTGCTATTTCCAGAAAAAATTAAAAACTGTAAAAATACTCAGAAATTACGTGTTTTTTTCTCACATTTTCCAATATAACTTTTTAAATATGCAGTTTATAGAAAAAAGTATTACTACTGAAATTGTTTGTTATAAAATTTG